GTACTCGGAGAGTCAGACAGCCCGTTTTTCTATTTTGATTTTGGAACTACTTTCCTACCATAGTATTTAAAGTGTATTTTGAGGGAAGAAAAGAATCAGCTAGAGATTTTAAACACAGTCTAAGACACCTTTCTGTGCAAATGATCTTAACAGGGCCTGCTTACACTGCCTTAGTAAGTAGCTAGTGGGATTTTTACTGGAGCTAGGTGGCAATTTGGAGCATACCACTGAAGGTAACTTCTGCCACCTGGTGGCAGTATTCCTTAATTGCAGATTCTTTTGAAGTCTAGAATTTATAGGTGAAACGCCTAAAAATCTCCTGAAATAATCTGCTGTTATTATTTAAGGAACCATATGACCACTCATGTGTTCTGAAATAAGAGGCACACCTCAGGTTCTAGTTTGGATTTCTCCATATACATGAGCAGCTCAGAAGGGAGTGGTTTGGGGTGCTGGGTTGCCTTGTCATTGAGTAGACTTTGGAGCCAACCTGCCAAGTCTCTTGCTTGTGTGGCTTGGTCTAGGGACCAGTTTATCCTTAGCCCATGGGTGCTCAGGATGCCTAACTTTACCCCTCTCCCCATGGTGATGGAACTTAGCGCTCTGACATGCTAGGAAAGCGCTCTACCACTTAGATATATCCCTAGGCCCAGGAGGCATAACTTTGTCTTACATTTGCTATGCTGGGGACTAAACCCAGGATTTTTGTGATGAGCTACATTCCCCAGCCCGTTTTTTATTTTGAGATGGTCTAGCTAAGTCACTAAGTTGCCCAGGCTGGGCTTCACCTTGTGTTCCTCCTGCCTCAGCCTCCCAGAGTGCTGGGATTACAAGTGTGCATCACTAATGCTGGCTTAATTTTTGTATTAAAAGTTAATGCTGAAGTTGGCTATTACATTTTTTTTGTTTTGATTTTAAGATCTGTGGCAATTTCTTTTTTCTTTCTTTCTTTCTTTTCTTTTTTTTTTTTTTTTTCTGTTTTTTTGAGATAGGGTCGTGCTATGCAGTTCAGGCTGGCCTTGAGCTCACTTTGCTTTGAGCTCACTTTGTAGCCCAGGCTGGTCTTGAACTTGCAGTGATCTTCCTGCCTCAGCCTCCCAAGAGCTGGGATTGCAGGCGTGTGCCACCACTCCTGGCTTTCTGTGGCAATTTCTGAAAATTAAAATCTCCCACAGCCATAAAAGCTAGTCATGTCCTCAAGTAGTAGGTGTGTGTACTCCAGATATGCCCACACTTACCGAAGATCTGATTGACAACTTTCCTGTTGTGTATTTTAAATTAGTGCTGAGTTGTTTGAAATGTAGTTGGAGTTTAATGGTCTAGAATGAGATGAAATGAATCAGGTATAGCCCTGTAACCTAGGACTTCTTCCTAGACTAGCTGCCGGTAGTCAGTTGTCTTTGTGAGTTGTTTTTTAAAGGGCTGATTTACAGAAACATCAATCACTTGTTTCTATAAATGTTTTATAATGCAAATTGAATGCAATGAAATATTAAAAATACCATTCATTAAATATTGAAAAGTTCAGTCCCTGGAACTGGCCAGATCTCTTCATTGTACTGCCAATTTAAATGGGCAATCTAGAAAGTTTGAATTATAAAATTAGAATACGGGTGTGGAAATACAGCTGTAGTCACACACCCCCCCCCCACCAACCCTTACCCATTTCCTGGAAAGGCCTGCAGCCTTTCCCATAAGGTGGCAGGTCACACTTTCTGTTATTAGTCATTTATCACAGGTTTTCTGCAGTTCGAAGTGCTTTGTATTTTTTCATTCCTGTTTAAGTGAAGTCAATAAACTCATTTGGTTTAAGTCAGGAGTTTTCCGGACTCAAATACTAGAATGTCTCATTATGCTTGTGTTTTTATTAATAAAACCTTTTAAAGTATGAAAACAAATAGGAATCAAATATTGTTCTTAATGGTCAATTAAAGTAAAGCTTGTTTTAAATGAGAGAGGGATGATAGCCTGTGGGGTGTTCAGAGTACATCCTTCTGTAAAACAGCTCATTTGCCTTACATCAATCACTCCAGCAGCAGCATCCCAGCTATGTCAGAGCATGGTTTTCTGGAAAAGATACCTGGAAGCCAGGTGTAGTGATGCACACTGTAATCCCAGGGCTCTGGGAGGCTGAGGCAGAAGGATTGTAAGTCCAAGCCCAACGTGGCAACATAGTGACTCAGTGAGACCCTATCTCAAAATAGAAAACAGGGCTAGGGGTGACTTAGTGCAAAGGCCTTGGGGTCAGTCCCCATTACCTGGAGAGGGTGCAGAGACCCAGCAGGTGAGGCGCCTGCCCCACTGCACAGTAGGCTGCCCTTTGTCCTGTGGAGCCCTACCCCACCCTCAACAGGGCCACACTGCTTGTGAGGCTTGGCCCAGCAGTGCCACCAGCTGCCTCCTCGCTGCTGTCCTGTAGCTGCCTCAGAGCAGGACGCTGGTGCTGGCACCTTCTGGGGCCTTTTTCACCAGCTTTCTGGTCCCAGAGCACTTGTCAGGGCAGAGGGTGTGTTTCCGAGGCATTTTGCCTTTTGGTCTCTGTAACCTGCGTTGGATGTGCTGACGGGCCCCTCCTGATCTCACCGTAGTTAACTTTCCCTGCATGCTCTCTTGACCTCCTTGGCTCACGCAGCACCTCTGCATTTTCTGGCTCCCATGTTTGGAGCACCCACCTGCCACCTGCCAGAATCTCTCGCTCTCACACACGCACGCACGCACACGCACCACCTTCCCGGTGGCTAAAGCCTAGGTCATACCAGTCCCAAAAAGAGGCCTCGAACTGGGACCACAGACCAGAGAGAGTGAGGACGACACCTCCAGACCCTTGGCATAGAGGAGGTCAGCGCTGGTTAGTGACACTGAGGTGCCATGTGCCCTCCCCGTCTTCTCCCGCCCACCATGTTCAGGAGTTTCCTGGGGTTCTGTGGAGGGTAGTGAGAACACACGCTGCCTGCGGGGGAGGGCAGCAGTGAGAACCCAGCTGTTTTCTGTTACGCCCCCAACCTGGAGGTTTGCAGAAACACAAGGCCTTAAAGCCGAGTAGGTGTGTGGGCCTGTAGTGTCAACTCTGGAGGCTGTGGCTGGAGGGTCGCCTGAGCCCGGGAGTTTGAGGTCAGCTGGGGCAGTGCAGTGAGACCCTGTCTCAAAACACAAAGTGAAAACAGTAAGAGGTTTCCACTTTTCTTGGGAAACACTGTTTTTAGAAACAGTTTTCATTAACGTACTTATGTTGAAATACATTGGGTTTTACTTTAGTATTTTTTTTTGTGGGAGACCGTGAATCGAACTCAGGACCTCAAGCTTGCCAGGCAGGTGCTGCACCACTGAGCTAATCCCCAGCCCTACAATGGGTTTTTAAAAAAATTATTATTACTGTTATTTTGGTGCTGGAAATCAAACTCAGGGCCTTGTGATTGCCAGGCAGATGTTGTGCCACTGAGCTATATCCCCGGTCCTTACAGTGGGTTTTACTTATTTATTTTTTATTTTTTTGTCTTTTTGAGACAGGGTCTTACTATGCAGTTCAGGTTGTCTGTGAGCTCACTTTGTAGCCCAGGCTGGTCTCCAACTCACAACAATCCTCCTGCCTCAGCCTCTCGAGTGCTGGGATTACAGCCACCACGCCTGGCACTATGGGTTTTATAAAGTTAATAAATATCACATTACTTCTGTTTTAATTTTATGTAGTATAGTGAACCTGACTGATAAAGCCATGTATGCAGGCACCACCAGGCCCTCTGAGAATTTTTTGCTGTCAGTGACCAGGGATCCTGAGGTCCAAGCAGCAGCAAGTGGGTGAGGGGAGGTTGGTGCCCAGCTATTGTGATGAGAGGAAATGGCTTTGTCTGGAATTATTTGTGTTTTTTAGTTCTTTTCTTTTTTTTGTGATTTTAGGGATTGAACCCAAGACCTTTGCACTGAGCTACTTTCCAGCCCTCCTTTAGTTTTTGAGACAGAAAAAAGAGGTCAAGCCAAGAAATCAGTGCTGTTCTTGGGGTTGTGAGGCTCAGAATAGAGGGAGCATGAAGCTGACCCTATAGGGGTCAACCACCTCCAAAGTGGGCATTCTTTTTTTTCTTTTTTTTGTCTTTTTGAGACAGGGTTTCACTGTGTAGATCAAGCTGGTCTTGAACTCATTTTGTAGCCCAGGCTGTCCTCGAGCTCTCAGTGATCCTCCTGCCTCAGCCTCCCAAGTGCTGAGATTGCAACTGTGTGCCACCCCATGCCTGGTCAAAGTGGGTCATCCTTAAACGCTCGTGTTTTTGGTCTTTTTATAGAAATTTTGTGTTTAATTTCATTTAATGTTTGGTGTTTGTAATTTGTAAGTATTGTCTTCACAGAATCTGTTTGCATTTTTGTTTCTAATGCTAATTTTAAATCATGCCTTGGCAAGTAATGGTCATAAAGAAGTAAGAACAGTTTTTCTTTGTAAATTTTCTCTAACAGGCTAATAACAGGTAGTTTGAGTTTATCTATAGTCATCAGTTTTTTTCTTTCGCTTGATTTTGGAAGCAGTTTCTTCTTTTTTTGAGACAAGGTCTCGCTATGCAGTTTAGGTGGACCTTGAACTCACTCATGTAGCCAAGGCTGGCCCAGAACTCCTATGGATCCTTCTGCCTCAGCCTCCCGTTACAGGCATGTGCCACCATGCCCAGCTGTTTCCTCCTCCTGATTGCTTCATGGATTCAGATAATTTCTGAATACTGTTTATCAAAATAAACAGTATTTACTCTAGAATTTAGATTTCATGCAGTTTAGGTCTTGATACCTAATACTGCTACAAAAATGTAATTGTTGCTGTCTGGCCCACTGAGAGTTGTAACAGTAGATGCGCGGCCTGGGATGGGCCTGGCGTGAGGCTGTGCGGCGGCTGGGTGCTTGCCTAGGGCGTGTGAGGCCTGAGTGTCCATCCCCAGCACCAGTGAAAACCAAAGCAAAATAGGTGCACATCTTCAAAGCAGCAAACTCTAACCTTGCTTGTTTTCTTCTGCAAAACCTAGTTAACAAGCACAAACCCTGGCTGGAGCCCACCTACCACGGGATCGTGACCGAGAATGACAACACAGTGCTGCTCGACCCGCCCCTCATCGCACTGGATAAGGATGCGCCTCTGCGCTTTGCAGGTACTGCTGCCGCGGGCTCTACCTGGGTAGACACGACTGACAGCCATTCCAGTGCTCTGAGCTTGTCTGACAGCCTCTGATAGCTGGCGGCTGCTTGTGCTCCTGGGTATCGCACATTTTCCTTTTAACGTTGGGGTGGTGGACAGCAACCTGTTCTGGTCATTGAAAAGCAGATATTTAATTATGTCATGTAGCTCAGTTAAGTCGATCATAATTGCCTCACTGTAGCCAGCGAGCAGCAAGTCTCAGACCTCAGCATGCACGTGGCGACGGTTGTGCTGATGTGCACACGCAGATGTGCTTGGTCCCCTCCTCACCTGCTCCCCGAGCCCTGGTGCTGCTGGGCCTGGGCGTCGAGGATCTAGGACTCTACCTCCTGTGACTTGTGACCTGTGACCTGCAGTGATATCTGTGAAAAAGCTGAGCAGTCTGTATGGGATACTTTTGTACAGATTACTTTTTTCCCCTCCTGTATTGATTATTAATCCCAGGAACATGGTACTGAGCTGCATCCCTAGCCCTTTTAAAATTTTTTATTTTGGGGCAAGGTCTTGCTCAGTTACCCAGGGTGGGCTTGAACTTGTGCTCTTCCTGCCTCAGCTTTCTGAGTAACTGGGATTATTGACCTGCAGCACAGTACCCAGCTGGACACAAACTTCATTTTTATGAAGTAACTCAAGTTAAGAATGTATTAAAAGTAAGATGGTTCTGGTGGCATATGCCTAGAATCCCAGCCACTTGGGAGGCTGAAGCAGGAGGATTGCAAGTTTGAGGCCAGCCTGGACAACTTATCGAGCTCCTATCCCAAAATCAGAAAAGCTGAGGGTTTAGCTTAGTCACAGAGTACTCACTTAGAATGCACAAAGTCCTGGGTTCAATTGCCAGTATGAGGAAAGAAAAAACAAAAGGATTCTAGCCTATGTCTGTATAGAAATAGATGACTGGGATAGCTTTGGAGGTGATCATCACAGGACAGCTTTCTGTGTGGGTGGCATTTTCGAGCCTTTTCTCTATCAGAGCTGCTGTTGGTCATGTCAACTATGGTAACATCTTTACTTGGAGAAGGGTCTTGTGCTACTGGACCTTTTCTTGGCCTTAAGGGCAGAATAGACATTACAGAGCTAGTCTGTGTTTGTTTGTTTTGAGACGGGGGTCTCACTCAGCCTGTAGTGCAGGCTGGCCTTAAACTTGCTTATGTAGCCCAGGCTGGCCTTGAACTCACGGTAATCCTCTTGCCTCAGCCTCCTGAGCGCTGGGATTATAGGCATGCCCCACCATGTCCGTCTGGCTCAGTTAGTTGAGCGGTTTTCACATGACTTTTTTCCAGATCAAAACTTCTGTTATTAACAGTTGTTCTGTTTGCCTGGAGACAGATAAAAACAATTGGATGAACTTGTATAAAATGTGTCACGTAGCTGGGTGTGACAGTGCATATCTGAAATCCTGGCAATCTGGGAGGCTGAGGCGGGAGGATCACAAATTCTAGCCCAGCCTGGGCAATTTAGCGAGACCCTGTGTAAGTCCCACTGCTGTAACAAAATCCCTGACGGCCCCAAGTTCGAGGAGATTTGTTTTGGTTCATGGTTCCTGCCCGGGGTTGATGGGCTCCAAGGCAGAAATGGCAGTGGCACCGTGTGCTGGAGGAATGCTGCTCACCATGGCAGCCAGGAGGCAGAGGGAGAAGTGGGGTCCAGGGCAGAACACACTGTGCTGGTCACAGCGCTCATGACCACCACCTCCCAGGTTGCACCTCTGAATGGCACGGTCAGCTGATGAGTATGTACCCTACGATCCAGTCACCTTCCGAAAGCCCCGCCTTAGAACATAGGGAGCCCTTTGGGGGGCATTTTAGATCTGACCCATTGTGTGCTATCTCAAAATAAAAATCAAAAAGGCTAGAAAGCCAGGTGTGGTGGCGCATGCCTGTCATCCCAGCACTTGGGAGTCTGAGGCAGGGGGATGGTTGCGAGTTCAAGACCAGCCTGGGTTACAAAGTGAGCTGAAGGTCAGCCTGAACTACATGGTGAGGTCCTGTCTCAAAAAGACCAAAAAAAAAAAAAAAAGCTGGAAATATCTCTCAGTGTGAAAGCCGCAGGACTGAAAAACAACAACAAAACAAAACTAAACAAAAACCAGGTCAAACCAGACAAAACTTGTATCATATGTTAATTTTCCTGTTGTAAGTTGAGAGCAATGGGCCAGGGGTATAGCTCAGCCGCACAGTGCCTGCCTGGCAAGTGCAAGGTCCTGAGTTGATTCCTGGATCAAAAAAAACCCATCAAAGAGGCTGGGGATTTAGGCTAGCGGCAAAAGCGCCTGCCTGGCAAGCGCAAGGTCGTGAGTTCGGTTCCTGGTACCAGAGAAAAACCAAAAAAAAAAAAAACAAAAAAAAACATCAAATCGAGGGCAATGACTGAGAGGTTGCTGCTGAAGAAGTAATGAAAAATAAATTTGTGCTTCATTCTGTTCAAGCGCACATCCACTTCAGAAGAATGACCTGCGGCCCACTTGCACGGAGTCAGTGAGGGGGAACTTCCAGTGGGCTGTGCTTGTTCGCTAGGTATCTAAGAGGGGTGGGGACAAGGACATTGGAGGAGGCACTATGTACCACACCGCAGGGTTTGTCTAGTTACCTAGGTGATTTCCTTGTGTTTTACCTCCAGATTTGAAATCCTTTCCAGCTTTGTATGTTGGTCTGATTACCTAGGTTTTTTTTTTTTCTTCAGTATTGATTTGAGGGTCTTTAGACTGAGCTGTAGCTCTAGCACTTTTTAAAATTTTTTTGAGACAGGGTTTTCCTGAGTTACTAAGTTGCCCGGGCTGGGGTGGAATATATGATCCTCCTGTCCTGCCTCAGCCACCAGAGTGCTGGGATTATAGTTGTGCACCACCATGCCTGAGTCTACCTAGTTGTTTTTTTTTTTTTTTTTTTTTTTGAGACAGGGTCTCACGATGCAGTTTAGGCTGGTCTTGAGCTCACCTTGTAGCCCAGGCTGGTCTTGAACTCGCAACGATCCTTCTGCCTCAGCCTCCCAAGTGCTGCGATTATAGGCATGTACCACCATGTCCGGATCTACCTAGATTTTTTAATGGTCATGTTTAGAGGTATACCGCTCATGCCGCATTTGGTAATTATATCCTGTTGTTCCTTAGGAGTGTGACATTTAGTGTTATATCAGCGATTTTCGTGGGGTTATCTGGAGTGTGTTTTTGAGTAGATTTATGTACATATGATTCTTTTTAAGAAGTGACTGCAGGAGCTAGGCATGGTGATGCACACCTATAATTCCAGTGCTTGGGAAGCTAAGGCAGGAGGATCCCCACTAAAGGGAGTTGTAAAAAAAAAAAAAAGAAGAAATAAAAAGCGACAGCAGCCGAGAGTTCTTTTTTTCTTCCTCGAGCCCCTTATGAAGGTCCGCTGTACGCAGTCCTGGTGTCTGTGGAGCACGGTCCTGGTGCACTGTTAGCGTGACGCTTGTCTTAAGGCGTCTGCAGCAGTATCCAGGGCGAGTCCGGAGGCTTCACAGTGTGAGTTTGTGTCTAACCCTCCACAGCCCTAAGAGGTAAGCACGCTTTCTGCCATCCCTGGGTGCCGGAGGGACTGAGGCACTGAGCAGCTAAGTACTGGCTCTGGGTCCCACAGCTAGCTGAAGAGGCGGGACTCCAGTCCAGGCCGGGGGCTCGCTCTGTCAATGCCGTGGCTGCCTTTATAACTGCAGGAAGTTATACAGGAAGCAGGAAGTCACATCCTGACTTTGAAGGGAAGAGTCACAGCAATAAAGTCACCTATTTTTTTCTCATCTTATTGTATCATCAAATTTATTATTACTATGATGTGATAATACCTGTAAAATTTTATGTTGTAGTGATCCTTTGGAGTTTCTTTTTGATTGTAGAGGGAATTGAACCCATACCTTCACACTGAGCTACATCCCCAGCCCTTTTAAAATTTAATTTAATTTTTTTGAGACAGGGTCTAGCTCAGTTGCCCAGACTGGGCTCAAGCTTGTGACCCTTTTGCCTCAGCCTCCCAGAGTGATGGGATTATAGGTGTGTAGCACAGTAGCCAGAGAGTTTCTCTGTTTTTTTTTTTTAATGTGTGTGTTTGTTCGTTTGAGGCGGGGTCTCACTCTGTAGCGCAGGCTGCCCTTAAACCCACCATGTAGCCCAGGCTGGCCTCAAACTCACAGCAATCCTCCTGCCTTCGCCTCCTAGTTGCAGGGATTACAGGCATGCACCACCTCATCTGGCTACGAGCCTTGTATGTTTTAGTGTGCAAAATTATATGCTAAAAAAAATAAGGATTAAAACAAAAACTTACATAGAGAAGCAGTTTAGACCCAGGTCCCGTGGTGAGGGAGCCGTATTTGCCACAGTAGACAGGTAAGTGACTACTTCCCTCCCAGAGATCCCCACGACACACAGTCCCTTTCGTACCTCCTTCCCTCTGTCCCTCCTTCCCTAGGAAATATAATTCACACACCGTAAAAGTCACTCAAATTTGTAAGACTGCTCACCTGTTGACCATCATCTTATTCCAGATCCTTTTCCTCACCCAGAAAGAGCCCTTGTTCCAGTCACCAGGCACACCTCAGCCCCAGCCGCCCGCAGCCCCTGTGGATTTGCACACTGGTATTTCATATCAATGCAGTACCTGGCTTTTTGTGATGCTGCCTTTTACTTAACACAGCGATTCCAGGGTTCCTCTGTGCTGTAGCATCTGCTGGTCCTGTTTCCTTTTCTGTTGCCAGCAACGTACCATGGTGTGCACATGCCACGTTTTTGTTGACCTATTCCTCCTCCAGGAACACTGAATTATTCCCTCTGTCTGGCTGTTAGGAACAAGGCTGCTGTGGGAGTCTGTGTGCAAGTCCCGTCTGGGCATAGGTTTCCAGTTCTCTTGGGGATAGACTCTTCTTTCCTGTGCTTCTGGGGATTGAGCCCAGGGCCTTGTCCAGCCAAGCAAGTGCTCTGTCATCGAGCAACACCCCAGCTCTTCT